ACAAGGCTAGATATCTTTATGCATATATCAACTGCCAACATATCGTTTAAATACAAACCAAAATTTAGTCCTGAAATATGTTCAATAGTTAATTAATAGGACAAATTGTTGTGCTCTTTTTTTATTGCGTAAATAAATGATTATGAGCTATTTATTTTATTGTAGATGTTATACGTTTTTAATGTTATTGCAGTATTTTTTTCTATATAACTACAACTTTTAATTTATATGAATTGTTAGTGTTAAGCTCACGACAGAATGTCAAAATCAAATTAAAGCATCTTTCGAAATTCTGAACTGTTCCTCGAACAAAATTTTATTAGATAAAAGTTATATATGCATTGTTGGTAAATAATTGTTTTGAGCTTTTTACTGATATGTAAAATTGTATCTTCCATGTCCGGGACAACGGTAACTGTACATCTATCTTTGTTTGGAATAATACTTTTGAAATATGTGAATTCGTTTTAGGTTTATTGTAAACCGGTTTAGATTGTATTGTCGCTCTGAATATTTTTTTTTCTCTTAAGAAATAGAACCGAATACCATGAAAGTTCCAACTATGTACTGGCTTCTGAAACTTCACAAAACACCTTACAAATATAGATTTATTACGTCTTCAAGACATTGTTCCACAACTAAACTGTTTGTTCTACTTACTAGTACACTTGGTACAATCAAAAACCTGGTAATAAATTGTTCAGATAAGGCCTTTGAAAATAGTGGAATTATTTACTTTTGGAGTGTTAAAAATTCGTTGGAAGTACTTAATAAATTGCACGCTCATATTGTTGTTTTGAATCTGTTCAAAGTTTTGATTTTTCTAATTAAATGGCCATTTAAAAAGTCGGAGTGCGAATATGTATGTTCAAACTCTTTCAGGTCATTTTTAAGTAACAACAGACAAAAGAATTATGTCAATTGGACCTGCTTTGATAACTGCACTTGAATTTTTACTAGATAACATTTTTGTTCGCTATGGAGATTCCGTATATCGTCAAGTTATCGGAATTCCAACGGAGATTTACTGTGCACCACTAATTCCGAACCTTTTTCTGTATTATAACGAGTTACAATTTATGACTAAAATCAGCATAGACCCATCGAAACAACATCTGATACAAAAATTTAATAACACTTTTAGATATTTGGATGATATATTGGCTCTCAATAATGACGACGACTTCAGTATGTACACCAAAGAGATTTATCTTGCTGAACCGACTTTTAAAAAAGCTAATACTAACAATGAACACTGTCCTTTCTTGGATCTTGATATATATATATATCTTTAACGGGAAACATAATACTAAAATTTACGATAAAAGAGATGATTTATAAATATTTTATTGTTAATTATCCTTTTTTTTATGGTGACGTTCCATTGTCACTATCTTATGGTGTTTATATATCCCAACTTGTACGATTCGCTCGTGTATGTTACAATGTATTTGATTTTAACGATATTACTGAAAAATGATTACACCAGGGTTTTCGATATCACAAACCTGTCAAAACATTTACTAAATTTTATCATCGGTACAAGGGCATCATTCGTAAATATAAATCAACGTGCAGACATCATATACGTTCTGTTATTTCACATCCCATCTTTTATGAACATATTCTATACAAAGCACAAAAATGTCGTCATTCAACTTAAAAGCTAACCAAACCGTTGAAAAGACTTATTCAGAAGGGATATAGTTACGATACTGTTGTCAAGTCATTAAAGATGGCATTTTTTTTGGAATAAATATTGATTCACTCATAGGGTCTTTGCGTCGGAAATAAACACACTTATTCTAAAACCAGTTACTGGCATGATACGGGTTATGTTCTTCTCATATATTTTATAACGGTATGATACTAAATGCCTTACGGGAGGGATTGTGCTTGATTTTCAGATGATGAAGACAATCTTTCATTCAATCAGTTTAATTGAGATCTGGAGCTGGCATGTCAGTGACTGCTAGTAGTCCTTTGTTAATTTATGTTAATCTCACAAAACATGTTTAACCCCGCCGCATTTTTACGCTTATCCCAAGTCAGGAGCCTTTGGACTTTGTTTTTCATGATGGTTTGTTAATTTTGGTTCCTTTATATGTTTTGGAGTTTATTGAGACGTCCATTTTTGCTGAACTAGTATATATTTTGTAAGGGGCCAGCTGAAGCACGCCTCCGGGTGCGGGATTTTCTCGCTGTGTTGAAGACCCATTGGTGGCCTTCGGCTGTTTTCTGCTCTTTGGTCGGTTGTTGTCTCTTTTAAACATTCCCAGTTTTAATTCTCTATTTTATTTTTTGTTTTGTTTTAATGGATATCTACAGCATGACCTATGATACAATCGAACAGTCCGGAAGAATAGCGGCCACATTAAAATTCTGCTAAAGCACCATCCTTTATGATAGAATTACTTAGTAAAACGATCGAATCATGTATTATGGATTTGGAATGTGGTTAAAAAGTATGCAATATTGATAGGCATATCCAAAATTGATCGATTCTTGAGTCAAACTCAGTAAAGGGCTATCTAAATTCAAATAAATTGATCAATTTAATAACACTCAACGTTACCTTGATGATGTGTTTTTCTTTAAATAATCAAGAATTCTCTTATTATACTTCGAACATTTACCCATGAGTTTCCTTTTGACACGTTTTATAAATCTAGTATTAACCTTTTTCTAGATTTGGATATTTTATCTTACCTTTTTCTAGATTTGGATATTTTATTTTCACACGTGATAATCTAAACAAATTTTACGTAAAAATAAAACTACTTTTCGTTCGTTATTGTTAATTATCCTTTTTTTTTTTGGTACGTGGTGTTCCTCTGGCCTTTCGTACGGTGTATGTATTTCCCAACTAGATCTCTTTGTCCTTGTATGTAGAAACGTTTTATATTTCGATGAACGAAATCTATGCATCACTTGTAAATTATTGAAGTCATAAAAAACGAGTTTCTGGTTATTATAATGTTAAAGAAACTATTTAACCAATACATGCATATATACTAAATCAAGTCCTCTGTGCAAACTTTTCAAAACAAAAAAATTTTTTACGAATCCACAACGTATAATCGGCTGCTGATTAATTTTCGGATTTTGGTGCTGAGGTTTACCGATCGTTACCTATTGATTAACAATAAACACAGAACCATGGAGCACGTGAAAAATAAGTGAGATGATAAAGCGATGAATGTTTGTTTTTATTTATATTTTCCATGCGTTCCATTTGTGAATTAAACTTTGGCATTACAGTTGTTGAATTGTTTGGTGTATTAACTGTTTTCTTTCAGAATCGATAAATACTTAGTCAATCTTTTATCAACTTTCTATCATCAAGGGTTTTCCCTCACACTTGCACTTTGAGGTTTTCGAAGTGCAATGGTTAAGGTCACTTCATATTGAAAAGCTGTCGGTCAATTAGAGTACGGGAAGATAATAATGCAACGGCAGTACATTTCTGAAGATTTGGATAAAAAAAAGATTTACTTTTCAACGAAATTTATGTGTTTCATAGGAAGTATATAAAACATATTTATCTTTCTCTATTAGAAGTATCATAAGAATTTAAGTCAGTGATTTCGTTACCATTAATGACTATATGTTATGCTAATTGACAGGAATTTATCTAGATGTTTTTTATTTTCTAAGGTCTTTTGCGTTTTGTTGTCCTTCATTTTTTTATATACTTACAACTTTTGTAATCGTTCTGGAATTATGAAACCGTTATCTTGATATAAAACACTTCAGATCACCAGTGTTGTTCGTGTGGATCGTGTTGCTCAGTCTTTAGTTTTTTGTGTAGTGTTTTGAAAACTGTTGTTTGTCTTTCTCATGTTCTGTTGTTCTTTGGATTTTTTTGCCATTTTTTGTCGGTCTCTTTTCAACTTATGAGTGTTTCAGCCTTCGGTATCTTCTGCCTCTTTTATGATCTATACATCGTTTGAATTTTTTGCGTCCATTGGTTGCTGCCTCATCAGCATACTCCAAACATATTCTTTCATCTCTGTTAGTGTTTGTTTTCAAATATGCACTATTTTCATTTTATCAAAAAAGGGGCATTAGCTTTCAAATTCATGTTCAAAGATTTAACTCAAATATTCATATTTGATATATAACATGATACTGAAACGTATATTCAAATTTAAAAAAGTCTAAAATAAACAATTAACAATGCATGGACTCGATAGTATGTATCAACATTTCGTGTGTATTTTTGTCTAGACGTCATCTAATTAACCATCGAGATGACCTCCGAAGACTGCTGATGGTCATATAACCCGATATAAACATAAATATAAATATAAATAGATAGCCACCACGTGCAATTGGAATTTTTCTAGGTCTGTTTGATTTCATATTGTAGGTTAAAAAGTATGTATATCGTCGTTTTTACCTGTATAAAAATGATTTTTTGAGGATCGAATCATTCAACCAAATGGTTCATTCTTGTTTCACTTTCAATGTTGACATTCTTTTCCCTTTAATAGATGAATGCATGCGTAACGCATGTCCAGCTAAGGGGTTATATTGAAGGTCACATGAATACGGATTCAATGAGGTCGAATTATTCACTTGCAAGTGAATAAGTCATCAGCGATGATTCTTAGCTTATTTTGAACCAAACTGGCTGCTAAAAGCGAATTATTCTTTCACTATTTCACTTTCATTAATGATTGAAAAAAAAAGATCATATTTTTTTTTTTTATATCTCGTAGCTAATGCCCCCTTAAGCGGCTGAATGAAATAAAATACGAAGTCAACTTAATCAGATTGGCAAGTCTAAAATATAACAGAAACATATCATATTGTATAGATATATCACGAAAATCACTTTATTCACTACGATATTGGTATAATTTTATAGGCGTCAACTTCGTCTGAACACACCTGTAACAATACATTATTTGTAGTGATAATACAATGTAGGACTGTAATGCAATGTATATAAAAACCTCCCTATTCCAGCCTTTTAATTCAATTATATATTGTAGGATGAAGAAAAGGCTTTTACCAGCAAAAGTAAGTTTATTTCTATGTATTGATGATGCAACATTGTACATAGTCTGTTAGCACTAGTAAAATAACTCAATTATAAATATTTTGAAGATTCAGAAAATGAAAAAAAAAAGGTTCGGCTGAAAACTAAACTTTTCGACAAAAGAGCAAGCAAATCATCAACGATACCAGGCTTATACTTTTGTACGCCAGACGAACTTTTCGTCTACAAACGATCCATCAGTGACGCTCGAATAAAAAAGTTAAAAGGCCAAATAAAAAAAGAAGGCATTGCGGACCCAAAATTTCGAAATGTTTTGACAAATACAACTTCTTTAATCTATTCCTTTGGTAGAAATTTCTTAGGATTCGAACGAAAAAGATAATGATTTTCTTTTTCAGTCGTAAATTTTCTATATGCATCATCATCATAGAACAGTTCATTACGTATCACATTTGACATATGAAAACTGCAGAATTTATACACTATTTCTATTGTGGAAACGTTGTTCGCACCCAAGAAACAACAAAATCATTTAAATGAAGCTTTATGATAACTATTGACATAATCTCACCAAGTGGAAAGTTGTTTCCTGTATGCACACATACTTTTCCAATCTAAAATATATTTAAAGTTGATGTAAAGCAAGGAAAACAAACTTTTTTTAACTCCTTAAATGTGAAATTTGTTTTTATTTTCTAAACACCTTGTACCTAAGTGTGTTAGGACACAATTAAGAATATGTATGGTAGTTTTTCAATTTGCACTAATATTTCGGCCACAGATTTCCATATTATGACATTTTGACCGATTGTGGATTTACATGGCAAATAATGTGTTTATTGCAGGAGATGTTTTCTCTTCTATTCACCACGTATCTCGTCTTTTGAAGATCAGTGACATGCATTTCACTTAATATTTGTGTGTTAACTTAAATTTGTATGTTCTGAATGGATAGATGTCATTTTAACATCGGGAACTACTGTTCCATCTTAATTTAACACTCATCAATTTCTCTTCCTGTAAAACTGTTTCTTTCTAATATCAAGAGCTCGAAAATTTATATTCAACAATAATTACTTAAAATAAAGTCTACTAAATACTAGTATTCTGTTATGTCATAATGACGTTTTATAAATTTCGAGCATCCGAATCGTTTTTACCTCCATCAGGCAGCACAAACATAAACATTTGAAAGCCAGAGATTAAAAAACATGAAAACATTCGTACACTACGAACAAAAGGGACTTAAAATTAGCCAAATTCATTTAGCGTGAACTTTGCCATTTCGTTGTCAGTTTGTCTTAAACTTATCAGTTTGAGTATCCCTTTGCTATCTTGTGCCTCTCTTTTACCTGATTCATTTGGAACCTGAGTTTGTTGATAATTTCTTAATTTATCAACTGGGAAATTTAGAATGTATTTTAGTAATAGTACTGAAGCACTGACTACTCAGAATACTATACCCTCAGGGACTAACAGTCCACAAGCAGTGTTATCGCCCGATTGCTTGTTCACTAAATCAACATTTAATAATTTCGTGTGTCCGAAGCGATTTGCCGGCATCAAGAACGCTGAAACTTAAACATTTGATTGATTATTGTTTGCTTAACTCCCAATGGCAAATAGTTTATGCATGTTTAGAACAAGTGAAACATTTGAAAGCAAGGAATGTTTAAAATCTTAGACACGTTAGGAACTATATGACCAAAAGGGACCTAAATAGAATAGCCAAAATTATCAAAATTCAACTTTGCTTAGGTATTTTTTAACTACTGATTTGTCGCTACATCCTTATTAATTGATAGTAATAATAGAATCAATTACAATAAGTGTTTGAAAAATGTCACTACATTTACAGATCTGTAGCTATTTCAGATACCTGAGTACGACTACTGAGACTTAAATTAAAGTCTAAATGGTCCTCTGCCTCTCTCCATTCAAAATTTTAACACATATTACCTGCTGACTAACCCGTTACTCAAAATAAAATATCTATAACAGAAAACTATGTGTAAAAATTTGTTAACATTTAAAAGGTCATTCATTTGAATAATTTTGAATTGGAATTATTAAGTCTTAATATGAATCTCTTGGCAATGGGTAATATAAGTGATGAAACTTGTCCAATATGAAAATCATCGGTGAGTTATCCTTAAAGATATGAGACAGGGAAAATATACATTTATAAAACTATATATACCGCATCTTAGGGCTAATTAGAACAATGCAATGATTCATTTGTAGCCCAGAAGATGCGGAGAGGGGAAAGTTTGTTAATTTATTTGTCCAGCAATCCTGGTTGAATTTTGCATTAAAGTCATATAAGGCCATTTTAAGTCATTGAGAAATGATATCATATATATGAATACATCTTTAAAAGAAAGAAAGGTACATGCAAGAATCCGATCACCTTGACATTATCTTCAGCAATCACTTGTTACGGGTAATATCGAAACACACAATTAACACAGAAATGTCGTTCTATCGATGACCTCAGATTAAACAGGCATGAAGGTCAATGCAAAAAGTTTTCAAATTGACCTACATTTTTCATATGAGTGGTTGGTAAAAAAATGATAAAATGATTTACAAAATTCGAGTAATGGTTGATAACGACAACCCCAAGACAATAGGCACTTCCGTCTACTATAAATAGAAAATCTCACAAAACATTTCGAAACATTCATATGATGACCAGATTCCAGTTATCCCCATTTGAAATTAAGTTTGATAACCAATATTGAAGTTACATTTGCCAAAAATTGAAATATTTTACAAAACTGAAAAATCATGTGCATTAATTGCTTCCAAACACTAATATGACGTTAAACTACATGAACATCTTTAAGAACACTTTGTGATTGCTGGAGCAGTAAAAAATCATGTCTTTTGTTATTTTCTCTATATAAAGAAGAGGATAAGTTATGATTGCCATTTAGGCAACTATCCAGAAGAGACCACATGACGCCGATGTAAGCAGTTAAACATATTTACGAGGCCTCGATCCTCCCTTAACCTTTGATAGTGGTATAACAGCACAATATAAGAACACATCAGTGAAAAAGGCTTGACTCGTCAGATCCACACAAAGCACACAAAACAAAAAACAAAACAACTGAAGACACAATGTGCCGTTTTAAGATTACTCGCAGTGGCTGTAAGCTAGTTCCGCTTTGTACCGATCTGATGAATTAGGACTTTTTCAGCTAACTCTAACAGTTCTATTTTAATGTTCTAATGTCACCCTTCCAGAGGACCTGAATTCAACCCAGGTTTTTGATGAGGTACTTGTTGCTCAATATCTGTAGTGTGTTGTTTGTCATTTCGTCGTTTTTCTGTTTTGGTTATAGTGTTATCTGTTTTTCTTTTACTTATAACTGTACCCTTGGCATTTTCTCATTGTATTGTAACATCACTGTACCTTGTAAATTGAGCGCCTAAACCAAAAGTCTGAAATCTAATCGTTGTCATTATTTGCTGTCCTCCATAATCACTGATAATTAATTTTCGTTTGATATTTTCAGTTTAACTAGTCCGTTAGTTTCCTATTTGAATTGTTTTGTTATTCCAGTGCCTTTTATCGCTCAGTATACAGGTTGTACTGAATGTTGAAGGCCATATGGTGATCTGTGGTTGTTTACATCGTTGTTGTTTGGTTTTGGGGAGATAGTTGTCTCATTCTAAATCTTTCTACATCTCCTTATATTTATATTGTTTAAGATGCGTAGGCATCCGGGTACTGTAGGTAGTTTCAATCAAGGTGAGCTTCTTGCTCGCATTTTTTAAAATTTTTCTAATTGAATTGTTTTCGGGGTATTTGTAAGAGGTAAAGGTGGTCTTCGTGATGGGCATACTAGCATTCCTTCCTTTAACAGAAATATACAATATCCAAAACAAAATTACAAAATAAACAATGCATCTCATTATCAAATGAATTATTATTAGATATCTTAAAAAATATATTTTGATATGGTTGTTATCTGCTAGTAATATATGTTTAGATTATCAATGGTTTTTCAAACGAGAGAGTGTTTCACAGCTACAATCTCATCGTAGGGCGAAGTCCCTGAGATGAGATGTGGCCTCGAGTTCAAAAGACTAATGCTGATCTGTTTATCGCTATTTTTCTGCTGTGGTCGTTGACGTTTTCATTGACAACTGCATGTGCACCCGTAGTTTCTGGCGATAATTTTCTATCTCAAGCGAGTAGCATGATATGAAAATTTGTCACAAAAAAGATCAAAGGAAAAATACACAAAATAGCGATTAGGTATAATAGTTAGCTTCATAATCATTTATTCAGATAATTATGTCCTCTCATCCAATTATTCAAAGTTTGATTTCCATGTTACCTGCATCTTCCCTATCGAACTTGAAATAAAGAAAGGGACCGTACTTTTAAGTCTGCTATATAACTTGACTGATCAAGCTTTTCTCGAGTTTTCTCGTCCGTTGTCTGACGTCTGTCGTCAGTTTTCCGTCGTGTGTCGGCAGTCGGCTGTTAATGTTTACATAAATCTTTTCCTCAGTAACTAATGCGCCAATATTAGAACCAAACTTAGCCACAGCCATTCTTGTAGTATCTAGTTTTATGTGTCCGATGATCCCGCCGCTAACCAACAATTCCGCCTAGGCTTAACAAAAAAGAACACTATGATAACACAAAAGTTTTGTCTATTATCTATCATAGATAGAGAATATCGGAGGGATGCAAAAATGTTCAGAACTTTATGAACTGCATATATTCTATTCCAACCGAATCCGTCGTACGCTTCCTATTTACCATCTTTCACGATTTTGGCTTCTATCTTGAGACTATAATAGATCAAGTAAAACTGTAAACAACAAAAACGATTATGAGGAAAAAATCTACCGTCCAATCAAAATAGCTGAATTTCGATTCCTCATAAGAGATATTGGCCTTGAATTTCAATTTTTGTCATTTTTTGTGTTTTGACGAGAAACTAAAGTATGTATTCGTTCGGTATACCTTTTCGAACAATTCTGTGAAATTTTAACC